ATAGGGAGGGGCTGCATTCTCATGGTGCAGCTTACAGGGCAGGCCCAACTTTGGCTTAGACATTTAAGATGGGCACATTTTGATTGAAGGGGCTGGTGGTTGCATGTCCTGGGAATGGGAAAGCAAAAGGAAAGTACAATGAGGAGTGTATATGAACTGTATTTCTGTTAAAGCTGGTTCCCCTGCCCGCTCCTCAGGAGACGCACCTTTTGGACATTAATGGGCCCAAAGCATAAAGGCTTCCCCTTAGAACTTCTTCTGCCTCTGTGCTGTCACTGCGCCTGTACCATCGGCACAGCTTCAGCTACACCCAGGCATCAGCTCTGACAGCGAAAGGCATTGTCTTCTGCTTGTTCTCATGCTATGTGGTACTGAGCTGCAATTTCTTGTTAATGTGTTACAATAAAAAGTTCTTTAAAATGACATGGCATTGCTCTCGCTTTCTTGAGCTAACTGTGAAAATGGTGAGCATCGTTTCTCACACAGCACAGCTGGTATAAGGGTGCTTTCCACATTTCTTTGGTCAGGGCCAGCCCTAGACCTCAGCTGCTGCAGATTCTAACTAGGTTAGAAAGAAAATTATAGAAGAGTAAGATGGGGAAGTGGTGTACAAGCAGGGCTGCAAATTTGGAGCCCCTTCTGATGGTTTTACTTGCAGGTGCCTTCCCATAAAAACGAGAATCACACCTCAGTTACCTAACCATGGAAGAATTGAGGACAGGATTTGTGCTTCACAAAAATGCCTTTTCATTGAGCAAATTCACACAGCATGACCTGCCTCCTGGAGCTGCGATGAACAGGCTAGCACATAACCTGCATGATTCTGACCAGTGGCAAGTGGTGCTGGGGGAGAAGGAAGGTAAGTTTATTAGATAAATAAGGTCTTATTCACTAAGTCAAGGCTAATCATTTTAGATGACTCTTCTGTTTTACTCTGGAATGAAGCGGCACCAGACCCAAACGGAGCTACCAGTTGAGGCACAGAGGGGCCCTGCAGAGCTTTTGACCAGCACAGTATGTGGCTTCCGGTGAGCTCCAGGGAGCCTGGTACTGGGTCCTGCTGCTCACCCAGCACAAACAAATGCCAATTTTTCTGCAGCCTTCTCTGAAAACCACCAGCCCATTTTAGATTACAGGAGTTACACCCAGAAGTGTTTTTTTAAACTGAGGATGTCATTTATTTAAGATAGCACCACAGTGTACATAGACACTTTACAGAGTCCTGCCCTTCACAGCTTACAATCTAGGCAGATGCAAGAATAGGAAAGGTGTTACCCACTGCTCCACCTGAGGACTTAAATTAAAAATGTCATATCAAGGAATGTCACTGTTCCTCTTAGTGCTACTTTATTACATCATCATATACATCAATGCCTGATAGATACTATACATCAATTCCTGCTACATGCCAAATGCTGCAGGTCAGTGCCTTTACTCACATCAAGCGGGTCTTTCAAGAATACTGCAACTTTCACTGAGATTGCCCATTTTCCCAATAAATATGACCCTTTGCCCACCGTGCCTGCTGACACGATGGGAGAAAAGAAGTAGTATGGAGGAGCATGGAGCACTCACACTGGTGCAAGGGCAAGTCAGGGAAAAAAAAAAAAAGGACACCTACACAAAACCAATTACACACAAGACCATTTGATTGCACTGTTTCAGGTTAATGCCTTTTGTTGCTAACTTAAGCCTGTCTGCACTAACATGAAAAATAGACATCAAGCATAAACCAGAGTTTACCTTAAGTCCAGTATCTTCAACATCCTAAAATCCTTCAGGGCCAAAAGCTAATGTGCCCAGTTTGCCACGCTGTGGGAGCCACTGCTGCTGGCTTCCCTCACTGTTTCCCCCGCAGCCCAGAAACAGCTATCCCCAGCTTCATCCTTCCGTAGCAGGGGCGTGCAACGCAGCTGTAGTTATTGGGCAGGGTGAGCAGCCACGCTTCTACCAACCTGGAGACCTGATACGCACTAAATTCTTAAAATCAAACACCCTCCCTACACGCACACTCCCCCTTCCCTTGAATTGCAACCTAACAACTGAGGAACACTGAACTGCAAGCCTCAGGGGCTTAACAGCAGCAAACAACCTCCCTCCCCCAACACGCCAAACTCTAATTCTGTTTTCAACTCACAAAATGCAGAATGCTTATTCAAAATGGCACTTGCTACCCAATAGTCAGCGTGTTTACAAGTGCTGAGCTTTCTTCTGCTTGGTCCCCGGTGCTTCAAGATCCTTCCAATTTAATGAGTGTTGACTTAACACCATTTCTACTTTAGAATTTTTTTCCCTCCTATGTACACAGCTGTTTCTGCACCAATCCAAAAAGCTATACCCCCTACAATCCACAAGCAGCCATCTTTGAGAGACCCCTCAGTCAATGCATGTGACATAAAACTGACTTCAGAAATATTTTTTAGCCTTTTCCAGTAAATAAAGAAAAGATGGGGGAGTTTCCCTAGGGCAGGACCAAGATGAGCAATTCCAAAGGTAGGGGTTGTTTTTTGCCCCAAGGGTCAACTCAGACTATAACAGTGACAGAACTGAGGTGGGAAATGCAAGTGCTTCAAAAACAGTGTTATGCACAGCAGGGCTGAACATACAGCTACAGATCCCATGGTCAAGGAAGAAGGGTGGGAGCCCTGTATGCAAACTCAATAGGCAGAAAGCAGAAGAGAGAGTGTCCAGGAAAGCTTATGGAAAATTAAGAATCACTTTATCTGCTAAACACTGGAGCATACCCAGACCCAGACCCGCTGCCTGCAGGGTCCTCTGTACACACTGGCAAAACAAGCAGCCACAGGAAGATCAATAAGCCCAGGGGCGCAGGCATGCCACCTACCCCGAAGACAAGGTGAGAAGCAGCAGCACTGTCTGACAGCAGAGAGAGGCAGCTGGGTGACAGAACCCACTTCTGGAAGAAATTAAGTCTTTTTCCTACCCAAAGCTTCCCCACTCCCATTCAGCCTAGAGGAAAGCAGAAGAGGACTGAGCACAAGCAGGCATGGTGCTGATCCATGGCGCACAGAGCAGCGGAGATTGGAAAACAAAGCATCTAGCTGTCTAGCTCCTAAGCAGCGTGAAACATGGACAGGAAGCAGCCCAAAACCTACAGCGGGGAATGAAACAGAAAGGAGATGCTGCAACACAAGCGGGCAAGGATTTGTTTCTGGAAGAAGGAAACAAAGTGCAAGGGAAGTAATCCAGAAAACTGATGCATAACCTGTACTGACCCTGAGATGTGGCTGAGGAGCTTGGCCCTAGACAGAATATAGGAGCCCGGGGTGACTTCGGGGACACCAGCAAGTGCTGGAAGATGCTATACACAAGTCAGTCAGCTCTAAGACAACACTAAGCAATTATTTCGAATCTGATGCGAGAAGCAGCTTTAGACAATTCTTCTTCCAAACTGAAGCAACAGATGAACCTCTCTAAAGACTTTTCTACCCCCCGACAGCTATGTTTTCATCATCTCCAGCAGGCATGTATGGAAATGCTGTAGTACAGGTTTCCACATGCACACACACTTACTCATCTTTTCCTTTTGTTTGCATAACTCTGCCAATTCTGCTCTCCCCTCCCTAGCAGAAGGCCACCAGGAGCTAGAACATCTTCTGCATTCTTTATCCAGGAATTGACATCACTCCTCTGAGAAGCACAACTGACCTGCATCAAAGCTATCCAGCGTACCTTCCAGAAAGGAGCTGCTATCAGACTTTAAGCTTTAAGTTTCTGTTCCAAAACAAAAAAAGGCTTTAGGACCATATAAACAGAGCAATGGAAATATTAGCTACTCATTTAATTGCTTTTGACTAACATATATTTTTTTTTTAAATGAAGTTTATTCATTAGGATCATGTAATTTAGCAAGACTGTAGTTACACCCAAATTAATGATCACTTTCAAACTAACCAGAATACGATGCTGAAATTTCCCTCAAGCTACAGACACTTTAAAATTACCAGATGAAAACAGTGACCAACATTTTACTTTTCTAGTTATTTAGAAGTTACTCATGCTCTTTAACAGCTTCCTAAACACAAGCTTGCCACTGGAACAAGTAAACATCCTTGCAACATTTATTTCACTTTGTGTGCACACCAAAAAATAAGTTAAAATGCCTTAACAGACAGCTAAGAAACATATACTACACCTGGACCAAATACGAAAACATTGTGAACATCAGACAGGGTTAGGACTGTTACCAATATATATTTATGCATGTTTTATAGGAAGCAATTTCTGCAGTATTTTTCTAGGTAATGATAAGCATTTAAAATGATCCTAAAACCATTTTGTACCAATGTGGAAAAGTATTGAAAAAATTTCAGTTACGCTGGTTGTCAGTAGTTAGTAGAAAGCACTCAAAAAAAGAGAGAGTCCATTTGTTTTTCTTGTACTCTTGTTTTCTCCATTCAGGGTTTGAAAAGTACGTGTTCTTGAAACCTTACCCTTTGGATTTCAAACTTCCTGCTTATTTCATTATTATTTATTTTCAGCTCTTCTGGTTATTGCATCAGTCTCTCCATCAGTTAAGACATGATGTGAAGAGCAAGGACCAGTGGAACAGCACAGTCTCTCCATCCAAGTAGCCTACAAGTACGTTTCTCAGAGATAAATAAAAGAAATATTTTCCAGCACCTTCCAGGAATTACTACTCTTCTCCTCACAGGGAGGGGAGGAACTAGGGCAACTTAATAAATATTAAAATAAATTATACCCTTCTCCCCACCAAAAAACTGTTTAGGCTATTAACATCAGTAGAAACTTTATCTTTGTTTGGATACAAACATCTAAGAGGTAAAGTATCTGTGTGTCATGTTCAGGCAGCACATTTAGATAACGTAGGAAAAGTTAGTACCACACAAGTTTTAGCTTTTCAGGATGATCTTTGAGATAGATATCTAATTCTACAGTTCCCTTTAAATGGTTATAAGACACTATCAGATTACAAAACAGACAAAATTCAGTGCTCTAGTACCTATCAGCCCTTCACAGAACAAATGTTCACATGGAAAAACCTTAATACCACACATGCATTTTTTTCAAGTTTGAGTATGAAAAACTGAGATGGTGTAAATGTAATATCCTCTCTTTTCGTTTACAAAAGGCACATTTAGGCAGTTTTAAATCTGCTAAATGTTTTGTTTCCAGTGTTAAAAATAAATTGTTAAAATGCAAAGAGCATCTGCAGGAGGTCAATTTAATCTTCAGTAGGCAACAGGAGCTGCTGTGCAGATGATGGATGAGGTTACTTTTCCGCTGATCCAGTATTCTTATAAATATATAAACCCTATGCAGATCAGCCTTGGAAGGGAGAACGACAAAGAAGTCTGCAGAATAAAACTTTTCTGTCAGTTACTTGGTATTTTTTGTTTTATTTTTCTGTTGACGCTGCTGCCATGGCTGGTTTCATGCCCTCACGCGTTGACTTCAGCTCCTCCAATTCTGTGTTTAGTTTGCTGATCACCCACTCCAGGGCATCCCGACCCTGCCAGGAAAATACTGGAATTTAGAATCAGAACAAATACAACACCACTGCTCATTATCTATAGCTTTTCCTCTGTCAGACATGAGACTGGTTTTAAAATTAATTCTACATCCTGCATAGTTTGATACCAGATTATATTGATAATTCCTGAGCACCATCTTATGGAAACTTCACTACAAAGGCATTTGCTTAACCAATATGCAAGAAGTAAATGCAATACTGGTGTGAGCTCCCAGTAGTGCATGTAGGCATAAAGCCTAATTCAGCAGTTAAGTTTCCTTATCCAGGAGTATTGCTGGTTTTAACTGTTTGCTGCTCCCACCATGCAAAGAATATCAGCAAATTTATGGCAAAGTTGAGATACTGTTCTCAGATGCATTAGCCAAGTTACAGTTTTTGAGAAGATCCAGGACAAAGAAAGATAATCTTTCAAGTGCCCTTTGATGGAGCAACTATGGATTTGATCTCTACCAGGAGTTCAGAGATGGACTCACACTGAGTTCTACATTCATGCATAGCAATTTTTCAGCATATAAAACAGAAGAATTGAGAGACTATAGTCACACCTCTTACATCAAGGTACAGTCTTTTTCTGTTCAGTTCTCAGAATGGGAGTGCCTCAAAGCCAGGCACAGACAGCCAATGCTTTAGTAAGAGCTGGGGAATCCAGCAAATTAAGCATGTCAAACACCTTTTGCCTTAAGACGACTCTGTAGCAGCTGCACCCAAATAACAAGATAAGCATGCAGCCACACAATGAAGTCAAGAAAATAAAGAGAAGCATCTTAACAAAAACAAAAATGCAAGATTTTAGAGCTCCACAATCTCAGAATGACAGCTGCTGCCAAAACAAGCAGATGGGATCAGAGCGGGAGAACACCTGGCCTTTTTTCACTTAAAGAGAAGCCAAGCGACATTCACCTCTATTACCCTACTAAGAGTAAGAAGTACAAACAGTGGAGAGCAGTTACTGGGAGATACACAGCTCTGACCAAGTCTAGAGGAGTTCTGGAGATAAAGGGCCTGAGCCCAAAAAGTCCTAAGTCTTCAGAAAAGCCAGTGTCAGTGTTCAAGCCCTCTGTAGAGACTGATGGCAAGGAAGGGAATGGCCCTCCACACAGAGTTTTATTCTGAACTATGATGTATTATTTTTGTTGCATGCATTATAGGTGATAAAGTAAACAAAAACCTCACAAACTGTCTAGATCCTGCTGTTGTCCTTTATAAACCACTAAGCATGAACAAGAATCTGCACAGACTGCAATGAAAACCTAAAAAAAAAGAAAAGGTCAAAACAAAACCCACACATAAACTTGAAGGATTTTTTTGAGGCTAGAAACATTACTTTGGAATAATACTAAAAGCCCAGTGCCAGGCTGCAAAGTGTAATCTATTAAAAGAAATAAAAATTTTACTGTGAATAAGAGCATATGTATCTCAAGACCCTGACTAAGTTCAATAAAGGGCTAACTCCATTTCTCTTCAGGTTTTTCATATTACAGGAGCTCACCAAATAAACACTACTTGCCACATCTGCACTGGCAGGCAGTCCTTAAACTGAAAAAAGTCATCGACGTATCACAACAAAGTGTTCAGCTCTAGGCCAGAGCTCAGAAAGAGGCATTCAGCTCTACCCAGAACTACCTCAAGAACTAGTATGTTTAAGTTAACTTAGTTCAAGATATGCCTTTAAAAAATACTAACGATATTCAAGAAAGCATAATTTAAATTGTCCAGTTTAAGTATGGGTTGCAGAAAAAGACCCTTAGAAGAGTATGATTTATCTTATGAGTTCCTTCCGTTTGAGCACCAAATCAACCATGCTTCAGCAGGTGGTAACTTCCACCATCTCTACATCCTGTGCAAGACCTGGGAACAGCAGCTAAGCATGCATAAAAGCACCCAGATAGGAGTAGGCTACTGCATAGCAACAAGTTGTAACTAGCCATGAGTTAGCCAAGTGGAGTGCTCAGTAAGGAACAAAGCGGGGGGAGAGAGGAGGAATCATCTTTCAGTAAGTACGCATTTGGATATTTAAGAGTCAGGTTAAAATGTCCTCTCTTAGGTGACACAGGCACACAGAGAACTAAGACAGCAACAGCTTAGATGTTATATTTTGTCTAACTGCACAAAGAAGATCTGTCAGAAAGTCAAACACCTTTGATGTAGAAAGTGCTCTGTAGAAAAATACTGAGATTCTTTTCAGGCCCTGACTATGAAACAGGCAGGTGATAGTGTTTCAGTTGATATACTTGTTAAGATAAAAAAAAAAAAATCCATGACATTCAGCTGTAGCGCCAAGATATCTCCTTCAATTTTTGAGACTGCATAGGTCTGCATGTCTCCTTAGACCTGCATACACTATATGCTGTATTTTGCAGCTAAGAATAAACTTGTGATAATGGCAAGGAAGACCTCAGGAATATTCTGCACAGGAAATGAAGTTACAAATCTCAACCAGATGCAAAGCCTCAAAGTACTGTAGAACTACCCAGTTACCAAAAAAAAGAAATCTGACAGAGGATTGATCTATAAAGTTTCATACCGTACAACAAGTTCTGTACTAAGTCATTAAGCAAGCATATTCATAACCAAGCATGCATATTATATTAGTCTTTATTGCATAGGTTAGCAGTATGACATGTCTGGCAGACCAAACGCTGCATATGAAGATTTGTTGGTAGAGCTTAAGTGACTGATAAATGCTGAGCCTTTGTAGTTGATGTTTTCCAGAAAAACAGCCATAAAAGCTTAGTGGAATGAGAACATAAAAGCAAACACCCATGGCATACACTGATCTCAAAGTAAGCAGTGTAAAAAAACCCCTACATTCTTAACTAGGAGAAGTAGCATAATGGATTTTTTTCTTTTTTTTAAGGAATCTTGTTAGTTGAAGCATAAGCCAATACAGGAATGACAGAGTCAGGCTACACTGACTAGTGGCAGGGAAACAATCTGCACAGAGGTATCACAGAGGCAAGTACACTCCGTTCTTTCAACTCTGAAGTCAAATTTTTTCATAGTCACATCGCTTAAGGGACATGTCGCTACCGAAATGAATATAACTACAAGACCAATGAAAAACACCAACGGTCTGGCATTCTGACAGCTTCCAGCTTTGTACAGATTTCCACAGGAGTTCACAGAAGGGCAACAATATTCCTCAGGCATTATAAAAGCAAATACAATTTCACTATGCAAAAGATTATCCCTGTTAGGCAATCTGTTTCAAGAAATCCACTTTATATCCTAAGAGTACAATTCTGTTTCATTTTTATAATGCCAATTCCAGTCACTAACCAATTTATTAGTTTCTTCAGGTACCAGTTTTGCTTACTGCAATCACAGAAACTAGGACCCAATCAAACACTTGGTAGAGGGACTCATTCACATGCCCAGTTATCTGCAGTCATCATTCCACTTTCAAACCATAAGCAATACTGTGGCACAAGACATGGCTGCAGCAAGTTGGTTGTCCAGTGGCATAAGCATGGCTTAATTGATCCAGTCTAGATCTGACCTACAGTCATTCTCTACAACTGTAGTGTAATGAACACATTTGCCATTCCTGTATGCAATGTATAGAAAACATACATGCAGGTTAATTTATGAAATTCACATGACAACAGTCCATGCACATATTTGCTAGAAAGCTGAAATGCTGTACCAAGAAGAATAACGCTGGCATTACCACTAGTTAGTATAAACTGCAGATGTGGAGAACTGCTAGCTTAGAGCGCTTTCAGAATTTTGAATTATCCACTCAATAGCATCCCACCCCTGGAGTAACACAGAAAAGATTTACAACATATGGCAAATGATTTTTCCATCATCATTAAAAGCAATAATGCATCATCTGCCATCTCTACCTCAGAGCAAAATCTCAATACTTACTTCCTATTTCTTTAGAACAACAAACCATTTTTTCAGCAACTTTCATGAAGTTTAAGAGGGGTGCTAAGGACACAGAGGCACAGCACAGCATGCAAAAAGAGCTAGTGATAGAGTGGGTTACTGGGTAGCAAAGAAAGGGTCCGTAACAGCAAGTACAAATTCCTGCCGAGTTTAACATGTCTGAAGAGACTATTCCGTGAAAGAACACAGGACAGGAAAGTCTTTTTGATTTGCAGGAAGCTTATAAGCTACTGTATTCCTTGAAAATGGCAGAACAGAAGAACAACTTTTAAAAGAAATTGAGCTCTTGCACAGGCAACACCTGAATATGTACCAAGAAATATTTACACTCTTT